GTAACAATGTAAAAGCATGCCGTACAAGTAGTCGGGGGGGCATAGACCTTGCATCCCTTTAATGCCGGGGAGTGTGAATAGGTGTATTTCCTGTAACTTTCGTGCGTTGGATTTTGATGAAAAAGAAGGTAAGGCAAACCGCGCCTTGAAATGCAGGGTCCAATGTTTTGTATCTTCGGCCTCCTGCCGTCAAAAAGCTTGGGCATGGTTCGCTGTATCGCTCTCTTTGCAAAATACGTGTCTCGCAGTAGAGCCTACGCTTGCTTGGGCAAGAATTGTATTATGCATACATCAAAAGGGGTACTGATATGTAGGGCATTGGGGGCCTTCGGGCCTCCTTGCGACTTTCAACCTGCGACGCTCGTGACCCCAGGCTGCCCGCTTCCCTAGATTAACCGATACACGCGCGTTGCCTCTCGCATGTGATTGTTTGTGTTGTCGTTCACCTAGCCCACCCTGGGGGGGACGTGATTCGCAGATTGAGAAACAGCAACCTCCATCTGAAGAAAGTAAAACCCAAACTGCTGTCGAGGGTATTTAGTAAACGGACCCTTGCAAGCCCTTCCCACACCTCTCTGGGTAAGAGTTGCCAGAGAGAGAAAGGCTCTCCCTCCCTCCTGTAACTGGTATACCGGGTGACTCCGGCGTTCATCGCGGACAAAATGTTAAATCAGAAAAGCATGTGCGTGTCGGCCCGCAAGACCCCCAATTCTCCTTGGGGGGGTCTCCGATCTCACCTGACTCTGCTCCGCAGGAAATCCGACAAACTGTACTCGACGACACAACATACGGCAGTACAAAACCGGGCGACAGCAAAGTAGCTAGAAGTGCACATTGTAGGGCTGGGCCTATCTTTGCTCCCGGCAGGAAACCCGACACAGCGATCAGGCACATGCAGCAGCTTACACCGAGGGTAGAGCAATGTGCACACATGTAGGAGGATAGGTCTATCTTTGGTTCGCGCGGGAAAGTTGGTTCCCCCCGAAGAAGTCGTCTATCGCCGCTGGTGATTCCACCGCGGTTGCTGAGGGAAGGCGATTGGTTCTGCCGGGGCGGCTGCTGAAGACCCCACGCCCACGGCACCTGCGGCCCGCAAAAAGCAAACTTTCAGGGCAGCTACCAAAAGACAGGGTCCTGCTTCGCCAAGTCAGGTGTTGGTGGCTTGTCGACTGTCATACTGGACAACCATCAACGCCCTGACCTGGCGACACAGGACCTTGTCCTGTGGGAGGTGCCATGAAACTTTCTTTTGCGGGCCACAGACTCTGCTGCGGGAGCGAAAGTCTCCAGCAGAAGCTCCGGCCGAACCAATCGCCTTCCCCCTGCAACCGCTGGCGGAATAATCGCCAGCGGCGATAGACGATTTCTTCGGGGGGGGAACCGACCCGGCGCCGCCGGGTCCACCCTCCCCGTCATCTTGGTGAAGAGGTTGCTCATGCGCTGGCCAGATGGGGCAGATCTTCGGCGCCCGCATTTATTGCTGCTGCTGCTACTGCTACTGCTGTTGCTGTTGCTGTTGCTGCAGGTTGGGTGGGACGGGGAGGAGCACCCGCGGGAGGCGCGCGCTGTACGTTCTGCGGCGAGGGGGCCGAGGGCGCCTCCGGCTTTGTGCGGAGGGCCGTACCGAGACAGATCGAAGTCTGAATCTTGCGCATAGGGGTCGGTGCTCTTCTCGGTGCGGGGCGGCGTGCTTGCGGGGGTCGCGGGGCCCTGTGTAGGCCCCGCACAAACCCGTCGAACTCGAAAGACAGCGGAGGCCAGGAGCTGATCGACCGACCCATTCATTCCGCGACAACAACCGTAGACTACCGTACCGTACCACGAAAAAAATTAACTTGGATGGTGACGGGGAACTCGAAAACTTCGAACCCTCTCGGCAGCGTCTGAACAAGCGGTGTGCCCCCGCGTAAACCCGTGCCTGCAGACTCGCCATAGAGCACTCCCCCCACGGTTGGTTGGCATCGTACAAAATACCCGCGGCAAGAAGACAGACAATAAATAGCAACAATAAATAATAATCTCAATGCTGCTGCTGCTGTGTGTGTGTTTCTAACTCTTTGTTTTGAGAAGGACATGTCTTTCATCACACGGCTCCTCGCCGGCCCAAGGGTCCAAACAACGCCCCCCCCCCCCCTCTCGCTACAGCAGTACTCTCGCTACACTCACCAAATCGTACTCGTCTCTATACCCGCACTTGTCCCATGGAGGGATCGGGGGCTGGTCGCCCATCCCCTGAAATGCCGGGCACGTGAACATTCCCCAGATCAGCACTACCGGCTTCCCCGCGTCGCCGTCGACCCCCTCCAGGTGCTCGCGCAGATTCCACCGCTCCCCCGCGGGGTAGTCGTGCGAGGTGAAGTCGATCGCGCCGCTCCCGGTCTCGAGGAGAAGCTTGGGGGACTGCCCGAAAACCCCCTTTATGGACCTGGCACGTGTTGTATGCATGCAGCAGCAGCAGCAGCAGCAGTGGCACGTGTTTGCTTTGAACGATGCTCTCGCTTGCAAAAGGGCGTGTTTATACGACGATTAATGTTCGAGTAACCGCGGGGGTGAGAATTGAACAACCCCACCCTCGCTGGTGCTGTACTTCCATGTACTTAGTGTGTAATAGGGGCGAAGCCGTGACCTTTTTCTCGCCTCGCCCTTGAGGAGGAAACAAGAAGGCTCTACATGTAAACCTCGGCCTCTTCCAACGCGATGCAGGGTGCCAAACTTGCGTATGTACAAATCTTTCTTTCTCGCGATTAAAACGTTAGGAATTGCATACCCATTCAGCCCCCGTGAGGGGTTTTCTGGTCAAGACCCACTTTGGCTACTCGTAAAAACAAAAATCAATTGCAAGGGTGTGTTGCGGTAGGGTACGTACCGAGGTGTACCGCCGGTATTTCCACCGGTATTATACCATACCAAGCGTCTCCGTACCCTTCGGTACAGGCTCCCACACCTACCGAAAATCTCGGTACGCCTCGGTAGCCTACCCAGAGTACCCGCACCCTTGAACAAATTGTGTCATGTACGCTCAATGGGCATCCATGGTAGACAGGGCACGACATGTATCGCCGACCGAGGGGTCTTCGCCCACAGCTAGCTCCCCGCCCACCTTTGTCTGTCGAAGCCGTTCCTGGGTAAATCGAAGCAGTTGCTTGTTAGCTCAGACTCTGGCCTCAAGTTGACCGCCGCTGATGATGCGTCGGCTGCTGCTGCTGCTGCTGCTGCTGCTGCCGGAACGGCAGAGGCCAGCACCAGAGCCTTCATGATCATTGTCGTGTGTGAATAGCGGCCTAGAGGCCACGCCCCCTCCGCTGCTGTGAAGACCGCCGTCTCTAGCCCTCCCTCCCCGTTATAGCTATAGCGGGTACCTGGCACTGCTGACCGTTTCACGCAGTCGTCGGAACAGCTCGCAATGGCCTCGTCACTGTTTTTTCGTGTCGATCCGTGGTGGCGTACTCACTGCTGCTGTACATAGGCCATTTGCCATGGGGGGCGCAGTCAACAAGGACAGATAGAAAGCAAGACAGACGGAGCGATAAAGGCACAGCAGGAGAAAAAACCAGGTACGTTTGTATCAGATCGATAGCACGCACCCTACTGAGGGGGACACAGCTTCGACCGCCATAGGGCATCCCCGCGCTTCAGCAAAAGACGGGAAATAACACACAGCAGGGCGCGGGGCTAAAACTGCGCGTGGTTTGAGACGACGGAGACACGGCAACGCAAACGCCACGCGATTCCTGCTGCGTGAGAAACCCTGACCCTTCTCTCGTTATCTATTGCCCCCCGCGGGGGACCTTACTAACCAGATACGCGGGCAAGGCTTCTGAGCTGTTTGCGTACTCGCGATGTCCTTCTCGCCTCCCTGCTCCCCGAACCGAGATATTGTAGCGAGACGCAAGTAGGTCATGCTGCTTTTGCTTTTGGTATACAGGTTCTACACACCTCGGTTAGACGGCCCTGTAGAGCTCCTCCGATAGACTGGTTAAACGGTGCCGTCAGGCGCTCGAGGTTTGTTGTTTTACCAGCCGGGCGCTGGGTAAGTGCTGATGTATAGCAGGCGAAAAGGGTCGCTCTTTTCCGCCGCAACTTGTCTCGCGTTGTTGCAATCTACGATCACTCCCGGTCAGATCTACGAAAAAAATCCCAGAAAATTACAAGCACATCGATTAGCTGTATTTACTGCTGTTGCGTGTCCGAGAGGCTATATACTCGAGAGAAGGAGTATTTCTGTCGTAGGGTGTGTTGCAGTTGGCTACGATGCGGATGACATTTTGTGTCGACATCCTCATGTAGGTGTCGCGGCTTATGGGCATGCCCCACGACGGAGAAATAACACAACCAACCAAAGAAAGACTCTTTTCTGTGATAGAGATGGTTTCGTTGTGTCATACTAAGAAAAAAAAAAAAAAACGGGGGCGCCCCATTTTTTACAATACTGTAAGACGACCCATTCGAGAGTACTCGGTATAACCACAGCAATCGAAAGGGACGCGCTCAAGTCTTTGCAGTATGGAGGGAATTATTTATATGCGTGCCCAAGTGCTGTGGGCCGAGAAAATTAATTGTCTGGCAGTTTGAGCCACGTGCGAATTATTGGTGTGAGGGACAGGCCAGCTTGATTATTTTTTTTCTTTAATATGACACAACGAATCCATCTCTATCATTGTGTCCTCATCATACACAAAAACATGTATGTATGTGTGTTCCACTCGGTTTCAACAAATCAAAATCCAAGTCACAACAGCACAGGCAGCGAACGAAGAGTACAGCAGTAAGAGAGACAATCACGACCAAATCCTATCGACGGTCATCATGTTCATCCCCAAGCCCCCACAACTCCTCCTCACGAGCCAAGACACCTGCCGCCTCCAACACCTTCAACTGGTGTATTTTGCTTCTTTCTTCGCCGGCAAGACAAGAATGAGCATCATGATGACCACAACCCCTCATGCCTTGATCGGGTGCGTTCTCCTGGTGCGACTCGTTCTTCGGCAACGGCGCACCCACCCCCACCCACAAGAAAAAGCACAGCAGGGGAACCTACTACACTTAAAACAGTATGAGTCCATCCCTAACTTATCCTAGACTCTTCGTCTATGGATAGAAAGGAAGTAATACTTGTGTCTTGTTTCTGAACGAAAAAACAAACAAACAGACGAACAGCACGTAGTGATCAACAAAGCCAGGCACAAGGGCCACCATGCTCGCAAGACAAACAAAAACAGAATAAAGAACAGCGACGAAAATCGCGCTCGCACTCCACCCGCAACCCGCCACCGCGAGACGCCTCCTCCTGTATGGACTACCGCCGTTGCTATGGGGCCCCGGCGTATCACGCGGCCTCCCTCTTCCCCCCCCCCCCCTCCTTCCCTTGGCTTGATCCGGGAGCTCAGAGCTCGTACCGGCCAATAACGCCAGCCAGGCCGTTGTACACGAGCGTGTTGTCCAGAGGGGTGTACTGGCGAGTGATGGCCTACGCGCGGCACAAGGGCATAGGGGTGGGTAGTCACGTAAAAGCATGGGGGGTGGGTGCAAGGCGAGGCCCAACCCCAACACGAGAGAGCAAATTCTTCGAGTAAGCTTCAAGAAAGAAGGGATGCAGAGCACATACACAAATAGTACACGCTGCCGGGCGGAGGGGGGTAGTCGGCTACTACAGTACACCAGCTACTACTTTACTTCGAAGTCAGAAGCAAAGATTTGCGATTGACAGCAGTTTGCTTGACACACAGCTGACTGAGGATCTCGAAAGCACTACTGCTTATTGTACCGAGCATGCTTGCCGAATTCAGGGGCGCCCAGCGCGATGATGGCGTACAAGGGTGAGGGTGGTGGGGTACTCATGTTTTGCATGCCTTAGCGGTTAGACCATTGACCACGCGTCCTCGAGAGGACGGAGCATTGTTCCCACAGGACCGATCACCGATGGCCAACTGTTGCTTCCTACTTTACCAAAGCTGGCTAAAGGGTGAGGGGGGGCGTGCAGATACGACCCCACACGACCAAGACCCACGTTTTCGACACTCACACTGAAACCTTTCGTTTCGAACGGGAACGGGTAAAATCTATCGGTGACTGTACGCAAAAGACTACGAAAGAACTCGGCTATTGTTCTATTTTCATTTTTCGTCCAGCCTGCTCTCGGTTTCACCTTCTCTTCTTCGTTGTTCGGGCCAGTCATCGAGCGATGCCACAGCCGGAACAACAAAAAAAAAATCCAAGATTTCTTTTTTTGTCGTGCTTGGAGCCTTCTCCACGCATACAAGCAGCAACAACGACCATGATAATAATGATTATGATGGCTGTTGCTTTACCTTGACCGCCTCTTGGCTGCCGATCCCGCCCACAACCGAGGCCACGTTGTGAAGCTCCGAGGCGCCGTATCGCGCGCTGCCGCAAGCAACGGCAACGGCATGCAGTCATACATTGGGGGTGGGAGTCAGGGGGCACAAAATATTCGTGCGGGGGGGGGGGGGGGGG